TGAATTATTAAAGAAAATAGTTTGTTTAGAAAATATAGATTTATATTTTTATTGACTAACCTATCTGAGGAATTTAATATTCCTTGCATTGTCTTTTGCCTGCTCTTGTATGTTTGTGTTAACAATTGAACACAGCACTTCATTAAATGGAAGTATTGACATACTTTTATGTTGTAAAATAATCTACTGTGGTGTTTGCTGGTACCTAGTGTATTCTGGAAATAATGGCATTTTAGAAAACAGAATGTGTATTTCTTGCTATGGCATTTGGTTAAAAATGAAGTTCCAGTTACATGAATCTTGTGAAACCATTTCTCTGTGTTTGCCTGTGATGATGCCAGACTGCACAATATTTCTTACCTCTGAAATTTTCAAAATAATCTGTCAATCTTTTAAACTGCAAGTACGCTGCAATATTTTCTGGCAAGCCTGAAAAAAAGAGCATAATATCCAATATGTGACAAACTATCTTGAAGCAAAAGGAATCCAGTGATTTATAACCTCATACTGCAGGATCATGCAATGCAACAATTCGGTCAAACTGGAACTGAGAAATTAATTGCTGAATGTAAAGGGATAGCATACTTCTAACTTTGGTGGTAGCTCTCCTGGCAGAGGAAATAACAGCACTGGCTGAAGATCAGCTCTGTCACAACCCTGCTCACTTATGAGGAATGAACCAGGGAGCTGCTGCTAGGGTGAAGTTGGGGTTGAGGGAGGGGTGATAGAAACAATGTGTGTAGAGATATGGGCAGCCAGGAAGCTTTTTCATGAATATGTTAAACTCTTAAATTGCCAGAATTCACAACTATTATCTTGCAAACCTAAAAAGAGAGAATAACATCAATAACTTAATACTATGGTGTGAGTTCTCCTGGCTAAGGAAATGGTGTCATTTGCTGAAGATCAGCTCTGTCACAATCCCCTTCAGTTATGAGGAATGAACATGGGAGCTGCTGCTAGGGTGGAGATTGGGTAGTATATATATACTGTATAGGAGGGTGGAAGTGCAGCAATGGAATTAGACCTCCTTCCAGCTTCCAATTAATCATCACCCTTACATGCAGTAATGGATGTGGTTACTTAAAATGTATATAAAATATATACTTATATATATTTATACTTGGATACATATTTTTTGCACTGGTAATTGTTTATAGTCTGATGCTGTTTTAGTTTTAGTAGCTTGAAAGCCTCTTATTCCTTGTAACTCTCACACCCATCCTACAGGGTCTCACAAGCAAATTCATCATTCGCTCAGCTTTATGATACAGTAGTGGCATACTACTAATGTTTTTTATGTGGGAGAACAACATTTGTGATTACCACAGACATATTGTGATTATACAAATTTGCTGATTTAGAAATTAATATACCTTGTTTGCTCTTCATTATGAAGTACAGGCAAATACTTCCGATTCCAACAAACAAGCCCACACCAAATCCCATTCCTGTAGGCAGGAACCAGGAAGGCACTGCTACTTCAGTTTTAATCCCTGGACATTGAATAAGAACAGAAAAGAGTTGAGTACAACAATAAATAATGCATAAATAATTTACAGTCCAACCTTGATTGAAATTTGAATAATTGTGATTAACACTCTAAAGTCCACCAATCCCAAAACTATTTTATCAAAAAGATCAGTCACATGAAACACAAACATGTTGAACATGAGGTACTTTTGATCAAATATGATGTATATAATTATATCTATTCATCAAATTACCCAAAATAAAATGTATGTTATATTGAACTATTAATATTCCTACTAATTTCATGATTAAAAATAGAAATGGCTTGATTTTAAGGCAATAACAACAGTTTTGACTGTGGTGTCCCCCTACATTTTTGTACCTTTTGGGTTGTGTTTCTCACTGCTATGGACTGCCTATTCCACATATGCATTTATGTTTTCTGAGCAAAACAAAATCTAATGATGATTTTTAAAGTGTGTATTGCAACTATTATTAGAGCTAAAAGCTGTCATGTTAATATTGCTGACTACAGTAAGTGCATGGGGAGTAAAAATTATTAAAAATTATTTCAGAGAACCCTCATGGTTTTATTGCGTATTGACTTGTATAGTGTGGACGTCTGATTTGACTGTGCTATGTTGTAATCTGTCTTAGTAGAGTCTTCAGATGCTTTTCATCATGGCAAACTCTACATGACAACTATCGACATGAAGCTGTGCTGTGTACCGGGATTCTCCGGGACCCTGACGACTCGGATGAAAGAGTATGTAGAAATCAAGATGGTCACAGCAGCTGACACAACAGGCAGGCAGCTGTCTGCATCATCACAAGGCATCATTCCTTAAAACAAAAAATGAAAGGTCTTCAAAGCAATTAAGAAAACTGTCACTAAATCTCAATAATGCTTCCCCCATTAGAACACTACAGGGCCCCAAAATGGAGAATCAATTTGCAACATGTTTCTGTAAACAATAGCAGAACGGTGAACTCCCCTTCCCCCATCTCCAGGAAGGGAAAATTCTCTTCAAAACCATTAAAAAGTACAAATAATATGGCAAAGAAGTGAGGTAATGGAGACAATGGGATGATTGCTGGGTTAAAGATCTTCATAATCAAAACACTCAAACCAGCTTAGCACTCATTGAGGAGAAAGTCATAAGATTGCCTACTGACCAAAAAAAAGCTGTGAGAGGAAGGTACTGCAATGAAAACAGCTGATTTGAGATATGATGTCAACTTTATAAAGTTCATATTAAACCTCCCTATCATACTTAGATGCTTTTGTGTTTTTAAATAAAAAAAGAGATTGTCCCTAACCATACCATTTTCTGGGAGGGTTTTAGTGTTAAAATTCTAAACAAAAAAAAAGTTTTCTGGGTGTCATTGGTATATATCTAAATATGTATTTTATGATATAAAGGAAAATGATTTAAGGACATGGTAAATATCCTAAGCTGTTCTTATGGAAGAAATACCAGGATTATGGTCTCTAACACCTCGTATTTACACTTTAAATTGCTACTTTTCAGTCCTTAAAAGTGACATAATGGGGACTCTCTGTATTAAGATTAATCACAAAGTTCAAATCAATCATGTGATCAAACAATGTTCACGGATCCTACACCTCTCTGGATTCTGTGCTGTAAAACATACCTGACAGCTCCTGTGGTAATTTACCAGTGTAAAACAGACCTCCAACAACTGCACACAGAAATATCAGGCCGAGACACGTGTTCCGCAGGCCTCGAGACTTCTTTCCTAGAAAAAAACAACCAATGTTCCAAAGAAAGCAGGTTAAAAACAGGAAAAAACGTATTAAGCCCATCGTGCTCAATTCCATTATTTCTTCAATCTCCCCCTGGAAGACTCACAGAGAGAACTTGCTTGCTTTGGGAAAATGAGCTATCTTTCTCCTGAAGCCAGACCAGTAAATGACAAATACACACTGATAAATATTTAAAGAAAATGAATTATATACATGTATACAGCAGTGGTGCTGACAGACCCCCCCACAAACCAAAGTAGCAGATTAATTTATTAGTCTTTATTAATATGTTTTCATTAACGATAAGTAAGATAAGTAAAATACATATTTCCCCATATTACTTTAGTGGCGTGTCATGCCTTCATATCTAAATGGTTTAGCAAATCTCTTTGTCCACACCTTTTATTTTAATGAACCAGACAATGGAAACTAGCAGACAAAATAAAAATAGAACGATGTGCTTACAAGTTAGTGGAAATAAGGTGATTCTAATACATTTTGATGAGGATAAAATAGGGGCAGTGCAGTGGCTCTGTGGCTAAGGATCTGCGCCTATCGCTGGAAGGTTCTTATCCCAAGGCCGACAGAGGAATCCTACTCCGTTAGGCCCCAGCTGCTCCAGGGGCGCTGTACAAATGCCTGACCTGCGCTCTGACCCCATGAAGACGTGGTCCATATAGCAATTTACCAGTTTTCCTAAAAACATTTCAGTTTAAAAATGAAGTACCTTCATATATTTGTATTACAATAACTTCAAAAAATACAGCCTTTTTTGTGTTGTATTCTATCATAATAACACTTGTTATGTAAATGCATGTGTCATGATTATGTTTACATAATATACCTTTAATAACACAGATTTTGAGATTTTATAATACCTTGTGTTTTTCTATTCTTCATCCACTGGAACAATATAAAAACCATCAGAGCCACTGCCATTCCCAGTACAAAACCTTCTCTTCGGTGATCCCAATGGGAGGATAATGGCTGTCCATGCTTCTGGCCTGGAAGATAAAAGAATGGATATATAGTGAACATTTGATCAATCAGTTATCCATAGCTTGACAGTAAATAGAATCTAATTAAGAACCAATCTAACTGAACACCTTTAACTTCGAGGAGAGGGTGAAAGAACACATCCTATATTCACTCTTGCATTATAGTCAGATTTAAAATTTCAAAACAGCTGAGAGATCATTTTTTTGGCTAATTAATTATGCAGTTCTGATCCCCAAACCTAACACCATTCTGCTCCATTACATTGGTGTAAGTAGTGGGATGTGGAGCAATTAGTCTGGTCAATTGTGTGATTTACTACAGGAAAATATAGCAGCACTGTAATCTAATATAGTATAATATT